CTTTTTTCAAAACGAGAAGAACTAATCTATAATTTAATTTGCAATTCAAGAATCTCTTTCATCATAAATTAAGAAGTAAAATTTATGAAAACCAATTTTGTAGTAGTTTTTATTTCAATTTATTAGCTTTAATATATTTCATACAACTTAGGTAGTTATATATATTTACATATATCATTAGTTTTACTAAAAATTAATTATGTATCCGAATACATAGCATCATTGGTCCCTTCGGTTCAAAAACTAATTTTTTTATCCTCTTTGCTATTTTAATGGTTTTATTTTTTATTTTAAGAAACAAGGAAAGAAAAAAATAAGTAAAAATATGAGAAATTTTTAAAAAAATAAATAAATTATTTTTGGTCAACATTGATTAAAAAAATTAAATAATTTATTTTTGAAACCAAAAGAATTAATTTATTTATTTTCCAAAATGAGATGAACTAATTTACAATTCAAGAATCTTTTTCATCGTAAATTAAGAAGTAAAATTTATGAAAACCAATTTTGTAATGATTTTTATTTCAATTTATTGACTTTTTAATGGTTTTGTTGGAAATTAATTATGTATCTACATACATAACACTAATTATTTATTATTTATCCTTTTTTATGTTTCAAAATCAATATTTTTTTAAATAAAAAAATTGAAATACATATCATTAATTTTGTTAAAAATTACTTATGTATCCGCACACATAATACCAATTATTTGTTATTTATTCTTTTTTAAGTTCTAAAATCAATATTTTTTTAATAAAATAATTGAAATAATTTTTTAAAAGAACCTTTCAATTATTCAAATATAACTTTTTATACTAATATTATTGATTATTTTGTTAATAAATATATATAAATTAAATAATTTTGCTCGATAAATAAATTTGATTTATATTAATTACGAGAAATAAGATATTTATCTATATTATACTATACGAATCGTTGACCTTATGTATATAATCGGTTGTCCAACCGCAAGATAGCCCGAGTATCTAACTAGTTAATTACTAATTAATTTGGACTATCCAAATACATTGGGTTAAAAATTTCTAGGAGGCCCACATTAGGAAGCAATTTCCCAAATTATCCTTAAACCTAAATTAGAAAATTAATTCCTTTTTAGATAACTTACTTTCAAATTTGAATTTGACTTCTAAATTAGGAAATTGATTTCTAAAATAGGAAACTTTTCATTTAAAAAAAAATTTCATTTTAGGAAAGCTTTTTCCAAAATACGAAACTTTTCATTTTTGAAAAATTTTTTCAAATAGAAAACTTCCAAAATTGGAAACTTTTTCCAAAATCTTTGCTTGTCTTGTATTATGTGAATGTTTAAACTTATACGTGTGACTCAATAGGCTCCTAGATATATTGGCAATGCATTAAGAATAAAAGACATTTCTTTTATCTCTTGATAATAATTCAAGATTGACCTCTAGCACGGCATCTTGACTACCCAATTCTCTAAGAGGATTAATTAATTTACGATTACTTTTCCGGAACATGGTTACCATACTATTCGGTCCTCATGTCAATTTATCACAATGTGATCTCGAACTTGGTTATTAGTCTATTCGATTATGATTACATAAGTTTTCTTCGATTCTTAAATATCTTAGCTCTTAGAGTAAACCAACTATGTTTTATTAGTGTACTCTTTTTGTGGCCACAGATTAATTGAGTAGACATCTATCGAAGTGTAATGTGATAACTCCTTTAGATACAAGGAACGACATGCCCTATCGTAGTCATCCACCTATCTCTATTAGATTTTTAGTCCAACCAACAAATTACCCATGTGCAACCCTCGACCGGGTCCATCGAAACAAGTGTAAAAGTACATAAATCCATTAATGAGATAATTGTGATGACTTCAAGTCAAAGGACCAGCTTGTACCCATCTCATATAAGATTTTCATAGATTAAACCAAATGGGTTCTCATGATGAATCAAGTCCAATGATATGTTTTCCAACATTAATCACCTAGGTGCTTACTTGGGCATTACCATGCCAATAAGTGTGAGATCTCCTACTCGCTATCTTATAGCATTAGCATAGCACTCATAAGTTTTATCATATATAATCAATGTTCATTCTTGATAATGCTATGACTTGGGGTATTTAATGATATCATTTAAGTGCATTAATATTTATCGCACATCTTTCGATCAATCATTAATGCAATGCATATTATAAGGACTTCTATCTAATTCTATTCAATAAATATAAACAATAAGAATTAATAGAAAGACTTATTTTATTAACAAAATAAATAATACAATATTATAATAAGTCAAACATATTCAAACAATGTTAGATCCAGGGCTCCTACACTAACATCTTTTAATTATGTTATTAATTCATGTATGTATGATTAGTTGAATCAACGACTTGATCTTGAGAGCCTTGGATGGAGGAAAATTTTTATTTTATTCTACATCTCTATAGGATGCATGATCCTTCAATAAGCCAAATCAACCTTCATCTTTTTAGAGATGAAATACAAAATTCCTAGCTCTTCCTTATTCACCACTTCATTACTATTTTCCTATCCACATAACGTCCATACTAGAACTTGATGGATGGACCAAAAGGCAGGATCGATCATTACGGAGGATTTTGAATGCGAGGGATTGTAGACCTCATCTTCAAACTTGTTATTGTCTCGCCAAAATGGCTTCTCAAAGCTAGCAGGAGATTACCTCGCTCCCTTCTATAGCCAACGAAACACATCAACAATATCAATTCGTTTATAGATGTAACCAAGTTTGGCTACTTGAAATTTGAGAAATTCATCCTCAAGAGTTATATCCATTTGAAAGGAACTTAAAAACTCTAAGGTTAATTCCTTATACAAGGGTGCATCCATTTCTAATAGCGTAGCCCACCTTATACCATCCAAAATTTTCCTAACCTCTTTCAATAACCTTGTCGCCTCTAAAATATTTCGATCGATATACCTATTAGCCGGCACTTTTTTATTCATTAGCATTTCATAAATGGATTTGTGCTCTTCATTCTCAAATTTGATAGCTCAGCAAATGGGTGTATTACTGGTATAGGATGAATCTCCTATACGTTGTGCTCTCATCTTTTTATTGCCTTTCCTTCCTTGGATCATTTTTTACTTCCCCTTTTCTCTTGATGAAGACATGGATGTTTCTTGTGTGTGAGAAAGGAAAGGAGAAGATTATGGTTCTTTGGTGAGTGAGAGTAATGGGGAGGGGAATGTGTCTAGTGGGGTAGAGGACTCGGAGAAGATGGTGTTCTTTGGTTTATGTGGTCGGGTGTTTGATCCGAAAATGGTTGAGAAATTTAAAGAAGATGAAAAGGAAGAAGATTGGTATGGCTAAGGAGAAACTTTAGGGAAGATTAAATGGCATGGTTTAAGGTTTTAAGGTATTTAAAAAGATTGGAGATAGCATACATATTATTATCTTACGATAAATATTTATAATAAGAATGGATTAATATATGAATCGATGATCAACGATTGAACCAAAAGTAAAACCCAACATTTAACCAAGGCTTTCATTATTATTATTGTCTCTTGACTTGCTTTAACTATATTTAATACTCTCAACATACAAAACCGCCTTCTCTTTACTTTACCTTGAAATAGTCGGACAAAAGGATAAGTTGATTAAATCAATTCTTTGTGGGATTGACCCTTACTTATCCTAGTTATAGTCCTATAATTGGGTCTAGTGAGGAAAAAGAAAACAAATCAAATTTGTTGGCAGTACAATACGTCTTCATGTTTGCCAAGAGTCCACCTAATTTAGTTATCAATCTCGACTCTTCCGAGTCGATCAATCTAAAGATGTGTTTCACGATGTCCTAGCCAATCCAATCAAAAGAAATATGCAAAGAAGTTGCATGGAAAATTCTCTAATTTTTCATTCAAAAGTTTATGAAAAGTCTTGAAATAGAAAAGCACAAAGTGTGCTTAAATACTCACCCCTAAATAGTAAAAGATGAAGCTAGGGTTGAGTTTCCTCTCCTAAACCGAATTTCCCTCCTTCCCTAATAATCTTGGACTTATGCAATCCACATTTAATTAGGACTTAATTAAGTTTACCTAATTAAATGTGGATCCACATATTGCATAAGCTCATAATTAAATAAGGATTCATAAAACATAAGGATCCTATCACCCACCTCGGATTACATTTGGCCATATCCCTAAATAAATAGAAAATCTAAAAACCATGAGTACTAATCAATTAGCTCAAGTCCACACAAATAAAAATAACCCAAATAAATAAAATCCAATCCAAATAATTAAAATAACAATAAAATAAATAGGATAGAGGGCTGAAAGTTTCAACCATCATAGTATGGAAACTTTCGACCAAGTTGAGAGGGGATGCTCCCACTTAAAGATAGGTCATTTGGGTTTCCAGTGACTTTTAATACTACATGATGACTTCTTCTTCAATCCTCTCCCTATTTTTCAATTTCCCCAATCCAATATCAACTTGCGACAAAGTTTACGGGTTATCCTTGAAAATCAAAACATTTATTCAATGATTTTTCTCAAAATACAAAGAAAATTTCAAGACTAATGTGTAAATTGAAGTACAAGCCTCTAGAGATAAAAGTTAAGCACAAGCAGTGATAGCAAGAGATGGATGGAAAATGTATTATTTCAATGGATATTTTGGGGCAAGCCATGATCTAATTCAAATTCCTCTAAATTTGAGTGGTGATCCATAAAATTCTGAATGCTTGCAGAAAAAGTGGAAGTCCTACAACTCCAACTGAGCTCAAAAATTTCTCGAAACAGCCTGGAGCATCAGTCAAAGTAGTTTGTGAAGTGGTCAAGCAGCCAATTGACCTATCACAAGCTGATGTCCTAAGGTACTTCTGATTTAGCACTACCATGAATAATTCAGTAGAAAAAAAAGTTCGGATTTCAAAGTGTAATCTGTATATTTCTGCAAGGAAATTTAACATTATAAAAAAATTCATCTTGCCATCATTACAAGTTTATGCACTAAAGAAATGATTTTTGATCATCAGAGCGGGTGAACTCATTTAGCATATCAGAGTTCCTAGGGATGCGGCCACCCTTCAATAGAGCATGTTCAATTCAAGATGAAAAATCCATAATGTCATCTTTCAAAGCTACATTGGCATAGCTACCCTATAATAGGCCTAAATTGTTTTGCTTTCAAGCTGATAAAACTCTTCTCAAATGTTTTAAAAAGGACATTTAATTACTACCTCCAGATTTATTTCATCAGAATTGAAAATTTTACAACAATGAGGAAACAAAGGGCTGCCCCCAAAGGTGATTGTAGCTATATTTCAGATTCCCAGGTATCGATAGCGCGGTCCAAAGAGAGAGCTGACAATTTGAAAGCCTCTTCAAAGCTCATCCTGCATTTCACGTTGAAGTAAATAAATAATCATGTGAGGATGATATTGGCAGTTCTCTAGTAGATCAAACAGAGTCATCCGAAATTGATAATGTTCTGCTTTTATCATCATTTACACAAACAAATCACCACCTCCAAAACCAACATCTACAACCATTAAGTAGAGAATGTAACCATGGACCATAAATGTTGACATCCTCTAGGTTCACTAAGAAATACTTGAATAATCAAATTTGAAAGTGTCACAAGTCATTTTTGAAAAGTGTTATCTATTTCTATTTAATAAACTTGAGAAAGAAAAGGTAGAGGCAAGATTTATTCTTACATGATAATCATCGAAGTCCCGGGAATAATGCTGCAAAATAACACATTTCAATCAGAATTAACATCCATGCATAAAACCATGCACTAATAACTAGACACAATAATAGTAAGGTAATCAATATACACTGAATATTTCAAAAAAATCATCAACATCCAAAATCTTGCCCTTTCATATTTTTTTCCAGGAAATAACCAAATGTCTTCATTAAGTTTAATTGACACAGCCATGCAAGTATTAAAAGGAACAAAGGATCTGCTCTGGGGTCAGGACGCTGCGACTCATAAAAAGAAAGTATACTAGACACACATAAAAAAGATTCAAGCATATAGGATGTATACCCTTCTGTATTTATCTCTGTGTCTGTCTCTGTAGCGTAGATCATGTCCTCTTTCTCTTCTCCTCCTTTCACCTTCCTCTCTTGCTCTTTGAGCTTCCTGTAAATGCTCAAATTATTAAGAAATATTTGATAAAATTAAAAGCTTATTGATGAAGCAGCAGGTAGTATTATAAGCAAATAATCTAGCAAATTACCTCTTCCTCTGCAGCTTTTCTAATTTTTTCTGCCTCCTCAAAGGCCTCCTTTTCAATCTGAAATTCCCAAAGACGCAAACAAATTAGCCACCACTCAATCTTAAAAGTAACTCGCATGATAATAAGAAGCTGGTGTTCTCCAGCAAGGGCCAAGAAGAAAGACACACCTCTCTATTAGCAAATACTTCTTGAACTACTTGTTTTGCATACTCTGGATCATCACATATCAAAATATTGTCATAAACTGAACCAGCCTTCACCTGAAATGACACCACATAATATTACAGCTCATTTTAGAAATAACTAAAAACCACATGTTGCAGCATAAAGATGAAAACAGTATCTAAATCAACAAGCTTGATGCTTAATCCTCACCTGCCAAACATCAATGCCAACATATTTTATTGGCTTAAGAACATAAAGATCAGGGTCATCTTCAAACTCTGGCGACATGAACATGACAAAGAAAAATAGAATTAACTCTTTGTAGGCAAATTTTCAGACTAGTATTGACAGTTTTTTTCCCTTCCATGAATGGCAGCATAAAAAGTACCTGGATTATCGATATAAGGAATCCTCCATTTCCCTTTATAATTTGGGTTCTTGATTCTCTGTAGAATCAGAAAAGAGTTGTTAACAATGAGAATAAGCACTTAAGCTTTAACTTCTAGCATCTAGAAGGCCAATAACCATACCTTGGGTTTCCATGGTCCTTTATATGCTGGATTTGGTACCTTAGGTGCTTTCCATATACCATTCTCATCTTCATCCCAATCATCAGGCTAAACAGGGAAACAAAATGCATTCTATTAGCTATCTTCAATTATCCTGTTTTTAATTATTAACAGTACTACATACTATTAAAATAAAGCACCATTTAGGAGGTAAGCACATCAATTTTAGTGATGGCTCAGCATCAAAGCCTCAGGGATCATTCATATACTCGAGCTTTTTCCAGACATCAATTCATAAGTAATCAACTAACCTCACTTGCTTTGGGGTCGGGAATCTCTTTTGGAATTGAATCATATCCCTGCATTATAAAGATGCTCAAAAAATAGGATTAAGTACTACATTCTCTACAATTACAATTAACATCAACAGCTAGTAAGAAAAACAAATAACAAGTTTTATACCTCGGGTTTGACATCATTAGGATCATCAATATATTCTCTATCATCCCAGTCTGCAGGCTGTTAAAAATGGGAAAGAAATATGTTAGAACGTATACCTTCAAAATCTTCTAGCTATGGTGGAGGGGGACAACACAAAATATTGTCATTTAACATTCTAATGCTTTAAGGAAGTCAATTATCTATTTGTCAAACCTTTTTCGCCTTGACAGCTCTAATTTTACGTGGAGGAAGAATATCCCAATCTGTATACATGCTTCCAGAATCCCTTTCTCGACCATCAATCAGGAGACTATAACTTGCATCAGGCCTAAGAATAAATGTGTAGAAATGAGTTAACTTGTCCGTTTCACATTCCAAATCCTTCTTGATTGGATAATTCTGGCCCTGGTAGGATAGAATGACATGCAGCTTCTTTGTCTGAGTGCCACATATATCTGGTCCAAACATAAAACTGCATAAAATAAAATTTGATATCAATACGGATGGGTAGGATAGTGGAACCAACATGCAGGCAGAGAGGAAATCATATTCCGAGCACGAGAAAAATGTGACTAAAACCTCCAGAATACATAGAAAAGCAGGTGTCTGCCAAACCGACAATAGCTCTAAGTATTTTGGAGGAACCAAAATCTAGCAAAGTTGTGCTTCAATAACATATACCTATACCATTTTGCAGGCCCATATTACTAAAGAATAAAGACGTCATTGGGTATTAGCTTAAGACATGAATAGAAAGTCAAACTAACATTAAAATGTTACAAAATTTTATTTTTATTTTTTATTTTTATTTTTTCGTCATTTATACATAATATTTTCTTAAAAAGAAGATGACAGAAAAATATTTTTTCATGGTTAAATCAGAATCAGTTTAAGGACGTTTAGAATTCTAAATCCATCAGTTGACAATGCCCAAACTTTGCCAACAAACTAATGAAACTGACTACATCATGAATTCCTTCGTTCCCTTTAGCAACAATACATTAAGCCATACCAGATTTTCCATGTTGATGTTGATTCTTTGTTTGCTTATTAATTTGTGTTAGTTCCCATGTATTTGTTTACAATGACTTGTGGTCTGGAACCCAGACATGCCTCATCACAAATGTAAATGTTTGAGAGCAAAGACAGATGTTATATATATATATATATATATATATAGCAAAGCATATTTCTGTACAATTTATCTTTTCATAAAGTAAAATGTTTGTGATCTGTGCAACTTATGCAATTTTCAATTGACTTAAGCTTCCAATGATAGATCCGGTTTCTTAATGCAATCCGGTAAAATGGGCAGCTGAAAAACGAAGATGTCCTGTAAAGTACCTCAAACAGAGACTTGATCCATGCCTCATACGAAAAATAAAAGATAGAGGTGCAGAATGCATACAAACCTGTATGGAGTGTCTCCACCAAATTTCTTTTGGTTTACGAATCCAGAGAGAAGCTTTATGTAACCACCACCACATTCAATTTCCTGCTCAAGCCTTATAGAATACTGGAAGACCAATGTTCTGTTCTTGTTGCTGAACTCCGGTATCTTCGCAGATATGGCAAAAAACCTGGCATCAGTAGTTGTCTGAATACCTACAAAATATCCAAATCAAGAGTTGAATTAATCTTCTGCAAACAACTGATTATTGCTTGTCAAAAAAGTAACTGAATTCGACACGCCATCGTATGTTTAAACAACTGCTAAAATGTTCCAGGACAACCTTGTCAATAAGACTCCTGAACAGCATAGGTGAAATAGATGCAAGAAGAATAAGTAGTCCACTATTTTTCCTGTCATATTCTGGAAATGTAAGATGTACATCCTCCTGCTTATGAGGCTAAAAGGCTTCTCATGATTATCAAACTTAAGCAATTGGGTCCCCTTTTTAGTGTTCTGATCGCTCTATACTTCACAAAATGAGCATGCAATTCATCAATCCGAAAACAACCAAAATAAGCAAAGATGATACCTTTATCATCTGGATCTCCAGACCACCTTCCAGCTGTGTGTTTGAAAGAACCTGCCTTTCCTTCACTCCTCTTCCAATCTGATTTAACCCAACGGCTCTGCCAACCACCTTTGTCCAACACATAAATTACATTAATTAATACTAACTAACCCACTCTTTGATTACCGATTGAAAGACTGAAATAGTGACAAAATACTATCTTAAACAGCAAATCATCACCGAATTATTCTCACCCTGACGTAAGTGATTTTTTAAACTCTGCAGTTTACAACCATTTTGGTTAAAGTCAACCCAGATAGCTAGCTTGTTGACTTCAAAAAAAATATATTTTTTTAACCCAGAAAAGTAGTCACTAATTGCAAAACAAACAGCACCTGAAATGTCAATGATCTTTACTTGTCTTTTCTTTAATTTCAATGAATTTCTCAGCTACCAAATACAAAACAAAAACGACAAAGAACATTTTAATACAAAAAATATCACCTCTTCTTGGACTTCCACACCAAAAAAGCAAAAAAAAGCATTTCAAAATTAAAAAAAAAAAAAAAAAATCAAAACTTGCATCCACGATACAAAGAAAGAAAAGGGTATCATTAAAATCCAAATCCCACTTCAAATTCTAACTTTATTATTTCACAATAACCAAACCAAAAGAGTTGCATGCAAGACCCCCAAAGAAAGAAATAGAAAACATGCAGACCAGTTGAATAACGATTTTAACGGTTAGCTACAAGTAGCTAGCAGTAGCATGGATTTTTGGCTTTACAGCTAGCTGGTGACATGGGAAAACAAAGTAGTAAAAAATAGCGGTTAAAAAACAACAAGTTACCTTCAAATCTCTCTTCGAAAATGATCTCTGAAACTGAAAACTGAAAAAGACATAGAAATAACAAGACTTTATTAATACTACTAATAGCTAATGCAAAATCCGCCATTTGCGGAAACGCTGCTCAGACCCAGTGTAATCTCTCTGCCTCCGCGAGCAGGGAGAAGATCCTCCTAGTTATACAAGGCTTCATACTTTACTGCCCTTCTTATTCTATTCAATTACATCTGTGCCATTCCAAGCAATTATGTATTTGTCTGACCATTGACTCACGTTTTACCGTCTTCAGTGGGGGTAGTGTGAATGTCGTGTTGGTGGGTCTACTGGAGTTTAATTGGGTCACCAATCCATTCCATCTCTAGTAACCTAATTATAAAGAATAAATTTTAATTTCTCCCTTCTGGTTATGGAGTGTGCTCTAAATTTCATCCAAAAAATTCGGTTTTTTTTATCGTTTTACATTATAATCATAATTTATAAACTTTAAATACGATGTATAATGCTATATAAGACGACACTGATAAAAGCACATAAATTCAAAGAAACAATTGCAATTTGAGCGTCTTGTTTTTTCTTTTTATTTGAGTGTTCAAGCAATGAATTTTTCTATTTGAGTATGTAATTTTAATTTTTTTTTCTACTTGAATATTTATATATAATCGCCTCAAACTAAAAAATATTAATATGTTTATGATGAATTATCGTGTGATAATTTTTAATTGACAAGTAACAAAAAGTAGATCCAACTTAGATTATTTAGAAAAAAATCCAATCTTTTTATAAACAACTACAATTTGAGAGCGTCTAACTTTTGATTCAATTTCAGTACCTATGTCTGATTTATTATTATTATTATTATTATTATTTGACTTTTTTTAATCACCAAAGATTGAAAAACACTAAAACAATAAAGAACCATTGATACACGAAAGTATTTAACTAACATGTGATAAAAAGTAGATTTCACTCATATTTATTGAAAAAAAAATTATAAAACTTTTATAAAAGATAATAACTTGCAATAATTAAAAAAAATCATAATCAATTATTGTTAGCCAAATAAACTCAGCAAGTTTCCTCATCAATTTCTTAAAACACTTCTAAAATATCATCATTTAAATATTTCTAATATTGGATCATCTAAATAATTCGAGTTCATTTGGGCAACGGTAATTGATTTTGATTTTGATTTTGATTTTTTTTCTTAAACCAATCTTGCCTACTTTTTCTTTAATAAAATTTTTATAATTTTTTCTCAATAAATTAGAGTTGAACTTATTTTTTTACCACGTGTCGAGTTAAAGATTGACGGGTATTAGTGAATCTCGATCATGTCAATATTTTTCAATTTCAAGTAACAAAGAAAACTCAAATAAAAAAAATCAAATGTTGAGTACTCAAACAAAAAATAATAATAATAATAATAATAATCAAAGGTTAGGCACTCAAATTATATTTTTTTTAATAAATAATCTAAGTGGAATCCAGTTTTTGTCATGTGACGAGTTCATCTAAAACACATCAATATTTTTCAATTTCGGATGATTATGGACATTCAAACAGGAAAAAAATATATCAAAATTTAAGCACTACAATAGAAGGATTTACCGAATGGATACTAAGCGAGTCAAATAATTAGATACTCAAATTATATTTTTCTCAAATTCAAAATAGATTTTTGAAAAAAAAAAGAAATATCAAGCTTTTGCTGTCTCAAAAATAAAGTTTAGTGTAATAAAATTAATAATATTATTTAAACTATATCTCTATTCAATGATAATCGAAATTTTTTTAGTAATGCTAAGACAATCACACTAATATTTGGTGCTCGTACAATACATTGTAAAAATAATAATAATAATAATAATTCTTTTTGAATTTGATTTTGTAGTTTTGCTGATTTTTAAATTGCATAAGATGGATAATAACTGCTTATAAAGCTTTTTAAAATTTTAGTGAGACCATTTTTTAATGTTATGGATGCTTGATTGAAATTTTTTAAAAAAAAAACTAGGCGATCAATCAACATATAAAGTTATCACGTCCTCTATTCTATATTAGTTTATGGATATAATAATGGACAGCTATGAAAATTAAGGAGGTTAATTTATACAAACCAAATCTTTTTTTTTTTTATGGCATCGAGGCGCTCCATTAACCTTAGGGGAAAAAATAAAATAAAAATTTAACCTAATTCTAATTCAATTTCTCATCAAAACTAATTTATTAATCCTTATAGTATATATAAAAAAAATTAAATAACCTCTTAATCAGTGCTGGCTCTCTTGAATTTAGTTTTATTTTAACACCTAAATTTCTCATTTCATCTAATTCTTTTTTCTCTTTTTCTATTCTCAAATAAAGAAAAGGCAAAATAAATTGAATGAAAAAGAAAATTGGTGAATGGACTAAGTTGTAAACATATTTACAAATATAGGGATTAATTATATAGTTTTAGAAACCATGAGGGCTAATTAATTAATTTTGTTTTACTATAAAGACTAAGTTAACATTAACTCGGCAGCTGGTTTGGATTTGACAAAAGCGGGAAATTGCCCTGATTGCTGGCCAATCAGAACCGAGCTGGACGTTGCATTGTCCAATTGTATCTTTGTTTCATTCACGTTCTGTGGGGCCCCTTATCTTGTACTTGTAGCTTCTTTGGTCAACTTTCTTTTCAACTAAGCACAAATAGTTTGGGAACAGATTTTTTTGTTTTGGGTACATATATCTGATCCAAAACCATGATGAAAAAATAAATTAATTAATTAGCCGAGTAACCTATAATTCAGCCTTTCTAGTTTCAAGAAATAAATTAATTAATCTCTTTATTTTAAAAAATATTATTTAATTAATGTTGATCATGTTTAATTTAATATTATTTTTATTTTATAAAATCTCTTATTTTCTCATCAATCCTCTTATTTTTTTATATTTTTTCTATTTCTTAAAAAAATCAAAATAAATTAAAAAAGATAAAAAATAATTAAATTACAAATAGAATTCAAAATATAAAGACTAAATTAAAATAAATTTAATATTATTTTTATTTTATAAAATCTCTTATTTTCTCATCAATCTTTCTATTTTTTTATATTTTTTATTATTTTCTAAAAAAATAAAAATAAATTAAAAGAGAATAAAAAGAATTAAATTACAAATAGATTTCAAAATATAAATACTAAATGATTTGATTTTAAAAACAAAAGGGATTATTTTATTATTTACTTGTGAAAAGTTCCTAAGCTGCATTTTTTTTCACATTTTTTTTTAATGCAAATACCCAACAATGCACACCAAAACATTAAAGATAAGTCCTGATTTGAGGAAATTATTTTTTGGTATTTGTTATCGCTTTTAACGCAATCGGATAAGCAATAAATCCAATCTAATCACGCAATAAAGGGTAAGAAAGTATCGTTCTCATGAGAAATTAAATTGCACTACTAAAATTATCTAACTTAGAATAAGTTGAATTAATCGAAACAATTAAGAGAATAAAAATTAAATTAAAACTCTATTCTAAATTTGCGAAATTGAACATTGCTAATAAGATGATATCAAAGTAGCTAGGGATAAATTCATTTAATTCTAACTTATGCAATTAATTATGTTAACCGAGCTCACAAACTACCTTAATGTCTATCTTAATATATGTGACGATTGAATTCTCCGAATAAGTTAATAAGCTATCTCTAGTCGGATTAACCATATTCTTCACCTAACAAATCATCCATATTTCTATGTGACTTGAATTAAGATCTAAATGCATTAGAATCAATGGAATCCTCTAATGTCAAATAAGCATGTCATCAAGCACTTCTCTCTTTCATTATCGCACCGGCACTAGTTTTCTTTCGATTAATAGTAAACTAATGATTTATATTGCTATGATCTAACACATACAATTCCCTTTCGAGTTCAAGCACATGTCATTAAATCATTATGAGGTGATCACTCTCCTAAAGCATTAAACGCAACGAATATAAATTCATTATACATCAAGAATCAAGTTTTGAGTTGAGAAAAATATTTAATCACAAAAAATTCAAATTAAAATAATTCATCCCTAACTTAAGAGTTTATCTCTCGCATAAAGAAATTTACTCGGATCTAAAAATAAAATATTACATCGGCGATCCATTAGAGTAATAATTAAAGGAAACTCAATTACTTGTTTAAGGAATCTATCTACTTGTAAATTTTTTTCTTCTCCCTTTAATTTCTTGGTAGCCATTCAAAGCCTACTATTCTTTTTCTCCTCTCGTCGTACCAATCTCTCTACTTGTTTTCTTTGCTTTCCGGTACAAACTTTCTCTTTCTTTATTTTTCTTGCTCTCTCTCTACCGTCTCCCAAATCCTCTATTTATTTTTCCTATAACTCTTCCCTTTTATAGCCCATAGACTCCTTTTATTAGCCACTCATGTAAGTCTCCTCCAAAATGTAATGAATTGCTTTTTTTTAAAGTGTCCAAGTTAAACACCTTTTCTTTTGTTGCTTTTTAATCCTTGCTTTTGATTTTTATTTTCATATCGATCCTTATTTTGTCTTACTTCTTTAGTTTTCTCTTGATTCTTTGTACCTACAAATTCAAAGCATATGGAAATTAATTTATACCAAATGAAACATAAATTACACATATAATTAACAAATTCGAGCTCCAAGTTTACATAAAATATGCGTATAAATTATACTTTTCAAAGTCCTCCACACTTAACCTTTTGCACGTCCTCGACAAACTAACTAACTACATGAAATTAAATACATTCTAACCTACTTTCGTAGAAATCACGATTGCATTTTGCACATGCAACATGCCTTTAAACTATTAAGTCACCCTTAGTGAACAAGTTATGTCTCGTGAGGGTTTTCGGAAGATATACCTACAAATCTTTATACAAATTTTATGCATGTATAAACACTCTTCAATGATATCACAATTTGTAAAATCATAACACAAAGACAATAAAAATCTTCAAGATTAATAACACATCATGAATCAATTATCTTAACAAATTAAAAATTAATCAATATTGTAATTTCTTTCAAAACAAAGTAAACTAAATTGGCATACCCTCACAAGATAAACTCTCTAACTCTCAAGTGTTTAAAGTAAGTATTTCACCCAACTTCATTCCATAAAATTATACTACCATAGGCTTGCATATCATCTCAACTCTCCACTAGTTAGA